TTTGTTTATTTTTGTTTTGGTTTGGTTTGGTATTTCTCAAAGAATCTTTGTTGGGAGGCCGAGGTGGGAGGAATCACGAGGTCAGGAGACCGAGACCATCCTGGCTGACACGGTGAAACCTTGTCTCTACTAAAAATACAAAAACTTAACCGAGTGCGATGGCAGACGCCTGTAGTCCCAGCTACTTGGGAGGCTGAGACAGGAGAATCGCTTGAACCTGGGAGACGGAGGTTGCAGTGAGCCGAGATCATGCCACTGCGCTCCAGCCTGGGTAACAGCAAGACTACGTCTCAAAAAAAAAAAAAAAAAGAATCTTTGTTACTTGCTAACAGATTGGCCTTGATCGAGTTAATTAACCTCCCTTCACCTTACTTGCTTCATATATAAGATGGGACAAATAATTATACTCCTCTTGATTGGATAATATATGCAAAAGCCCTCAGTGCAAGTGAAGAGAAAGCACTTAATAACTAATACCTGCCATTAGGGGAGGAGAGCCTTGGTCTGTTTAACATATCTCTATTGTAATTCACCTTGGTTCCATCTGTCAGAGGCTTACCTTGCCCAATGCCATAATTGAGTTTGGCTATGAAATTAGAGAGAAAGAAACTTTGTCATTGGCCTTTCAGACAAAATAACTGCAGCCTTCCTTTTCCTTCTTCCAGTGCACTAAGCTATGTGGTGGAGGCATAAGAACAAGACTGGTGGTCTGTCAGCGGTCCAACGGTGAACGGTTTCCAGATCTGAGCTGTGAAATTCTTGATAAACCTCCCGATCGTGAGCAGTGTAACACACATGCTTGTCCACACGACGCTGCATGGAGTACTGGCCCTTGGAGCTCGGTACGGCCCTAACTATTCATGTTTGTTAACCAAACTATCTAATTTCAAGGTATTCTGGGACACTCCTCTGCGGCAGATAATTGTCACACTTACAAGGGCATCCCGGAAACTCTGCTATAAATAGTCTATTATTTTCTCCATATTGGCGCATAATAGAATTAACTTTTTATGATACTGCCGAAGTGACTTTACAGAATATGTGTACCTCATATAGGACCTGGTGCCAAGAAGTAGCTGCCTTTTCTTAGCCTAAATACACACACACACACACACACACACACACACACAGTGATTTTAACAGACAACTCAATAGCACACGTTCTTTCCTTTTCTAAGCTATAGTAGTTTTGACTTTTTGGGAAAGATACCTGCTTATTGAGGCCAAAGCAATTTTTCTTCAGTGACTGTAATTTGCCTGTGTGACTCAGGTACAGCTCTGAACATAATTTTTACAAAGGCTGTGCCCACAAAATAGACTAAAATCGTTTTGAAAATGCAAAAGACCAAAAATGGAACAAGTGACCTGGTGCCTTTCAGGGTGTCAGAAATGTTCTCTCTCTTGCAGAGAGACAGGAAGCCCATTTGGGACCATTTTTTGCTTTGGTCCTAGTCTTCCTTTGCTATCTGCTTAGCCAGCAGCTGACATGGTGAAACAGGTTTGCCACTGTAAATATGATGCAAACTTCAGGGGCAGCTCTTGGCAAACAGAAGGATCAGCTGTGTCAAAACTATACTTTGGCTGAGTTGTGCCCATAAACTGTGGAGCTAGCTGTTAGGGCTGCTTCATGTAAATAGAGTAAAAATGGTCCTGTAAATACATTAATTGCACTGAAGCTGAATTAAGTATTATATTAAGTCATATCCAGAATGTTTTTTACCCAATATGGTTCTGAGAAGTCTTAACTATCCCTGAAACCAGCTAAAGAGTAGATTAAGTGAAGTGACATGGTTAATACCTGTTGACATTTCTAAGAGTCAAGGGTTCCAATGGCTGGGGTCATGTCTGCAGGTATAACACTAACTATATAATCAACATACTTCCTATTAAGTAGAAATCTAGAAGAATTTGGAGCATTATCTCCACTGGTACTATTTAGCTGGACTGTAAGTATTTTCTTCCAGAACTTAAGAAATGCCACTCTGAGTCAGAGAGCTCTGATCTGTTGTTACTCTAGTCAGTTCACTAGGAGCATTTTCCCTACAATAATGGCACCTTCCCCAGATGAACATTTCTGAAGATCAGAAATAACCTTAGAATGTCAGGAACATCTTCTGACATTCCCAACTTCCCTCATCTCCTATTATATATTATTTTTCGTGAAATTCCCTCTTGAGCTCATTATATTTTCACCAGTTCACTTGACCAACAGCAATACCAGTGCCAGAGTTATGTTTTAGAAAGTCTACTAGCTCTCCAAAAAGTAGTAGTTCATTAATTTTGACCAAAAAAAAAATCTCTTAACCTTTAGGAAGAAACACACAAGCCTATTTATTGTATGTTCTTGTGGTTTGGTGAAAAAAAGAAATCTGCATTTCCCTTCCCAGACTCAATTCCATTGATCATCTCAGTTCCATTGATTATTCTATATTTACCTCTCCAGGAAGAATTATTTGGGAAAATGGGGAAAAACATAACTCTTAGAGAACTGTAAATTAATTTCCATGGTATTTTCTTCCTTAAACACTTTCTAAATACGCTAATTTTTTTTTACACAGGATCACTACCCTCTCCTGCAGACATTTTAAGAGCATAAATATTTAAATTTTAAAACAAGAACTGCTAATTATTGTAACTGAAAACATAGGTTTATTTCATGTAGTTGTTCTCCTTGGGCCTGCACACAGTTTTCTGAAACAGAGGAAGAAAGAGAGAGAAAGAAATTATAATACTCTAGTATGCACAGAAGCAAGTGCATGCATTTTTAAATTCATTTTGCCACCTATATGATTTCAATGGTTTCTTTATAAAGTTATCATTATTCAAATATGTGTTTAAAAGCCTCTATAGTCTAAGAGCAAGGCCACTTCTGCAAGGCTTTTAATTGTGATTTTAAAAAATTAAATCAAAAGCATTTTCTTTAAATAGATATCTTTGTAATATATTACTTTTCTTAAATATACGAGTGAGAGAGCAGTCTTTCAGATTCTTACTGTAGAATTTTGATTTTGGTTGTAAGTTTATTTCTGTGGATGCTTTGGTGTAATATCTTAGTAATTCCAAATGTAAGCATACCTCAGTAATTGTGTTAATAGCCATAAGCCACTTCCATGGTGCTTCATCATTGTAACTGACGGTGAAACTAACAACAACAAAAAGTATGTTGGAGGTGCTAACATGTTGCTTTCAACAGCAAGCAACTTAGATTTATCAGAGACCAAGGGTAGCAATTAGTCCTTCTGCCTGGTTGCTTTCTCTCTCCAAGTACTCCCATGCAGTAGACGATGTCAATAAGCAACTACTGCTGTGTGAATTAGCCTTCTCCAAGGTCAAAATGGAGATAGCCTACTTCAACGCTTGTTACTAAAGAGCAGTATTTAGAAAAGAAACCCCAAATCACTATTAATATAGCTTCCAGCATCCCTAAAATGAAGCTTCTGTGAACCTAGGGTTTAAGTCCCCATCTTAGATCAGCCATTGGTTCTGGCTCAAGTCATTGCGGATTTAAGAATCATGATGGTGAGAAACATCCTCCAGAAATTCAACCTTTTCTATCCTCTTTAAAATGGGCCTTTGGACTCTTTTTTTTTTTTTTTTTTTTTTTTTTTTGGTAATGTTTGTTTTTGAAATAAGGTTCTTTTTTTGAGACGGAGTCTTGCTCTGTTGCCCAGGCTGGAGTCCAGTGGTGTGATCTCGGGTCACTGCAACCTCCTCCTCCCAGGTTCAAGCGATTCTCATGCCTCAGCCTCCCAAGTAACCAGGATTATAGGTGCCTACCACCACACCTGGCTAATTTTTGTATTTTTAGTAGAGACGGGGTTTCGCCATGTTGGCCAAGCTGGTTTCAAAGTCCTGACTTCAGGTGGTCTGTCGCCTTGGCCTCACAAAGTTCTAAGATTACAGACACGAGCCACCATGCCCAGCCTGAAATAAGGTTCTTAAACTCACATGCCTTTCAGTCGACTCCTGCAGTCAGTCCCAGGACATTAAGGGGACAATGCATATGTCCTATGACTAGAGGAGTAAATTGTAAAGAGAGCTCTATACCATTAAACCACAGCAGAAAGTAGGCTAAAAATCCAGAGCATTCTAGAGAAAGCTAACTCATATAGATAATCACAGATTAAAAGTCCGCTAGGTGATACCATATATCCAAGATGGGTCTTCAGCATTCCTTTGTGCATTGTCCTGTCAACCTGCTTGCTGATCACCTTGGAAACTGTGCTTTTCCTTAGGAGAAATTGCTTGTTTGGGGTTTTCATGACAAACCTAAAAATGTTCTCTGAGCCTTGCTTTAGGTGCATTGGAATAATGCTTGTCGACCCAAATAATGAGAATTTATGAGCTCACGAAGGAATTGTGCTTTTGTTTCTGCCTGGCTAACTTATGAATTTGTGTCTACCTCATTTTCGTATTAAAGTTTGCAGCTTCTGTAGGTAGGAAGAGAAAATGTTTGATGTCAGTATTTTATAACCTCACTGTTTCTCTCCCTAGAAGAAATAAAGATTGTAAATATCACTACCATATTTTCTAAACACAGTTTTAAGCAGCCACACCTAGAATTTTCTGAATATTTTGAGCAGTACAGATTTCTATGTGTTATATAATAAAGCATATTTATTTTTTCATGTTATTTAATTTTATATACAATGTTTAAAAAATCAGTGTTTATCAGCAGACTGTAAAGGCAAGTAGGCTCTGTGGGTTAGAAATGAATGTATATGTTTCTTTTGGTTTTAAAAAGATACATTTTAATTTTGTAAATTCCCTCCAACCTGTACAACCCCTCCCTCAAATCTGAGTAGCCAAGTATCTAGCTTTGTGTAATTAGACAGATTCAAGTATGTATTTTAAAGGGATACTTTAAAAACGTATTTCTGAGTTGGAAATGATGCTTAGATTTATAAACAAAAATATATGAGGCTTAACATTTTGTTGGGTATTTTTTCTTTTCTAATACTGTTGTCCTGAGTTATTGAGTCTCAACTATGAAATATGCATGCTCCATTTATTGAATTTGTAGATAATGACAAAATATAGCCAGAAGACAAAAAAAGGTGATTGGAAGAAATGGTTCTGAACACATAAGAGACAGCTAGGTACAGGAAAAAGCAAACCTAATGTGCATAAATTTGATTACACTTTATTCTGTGTGTTCAGATAACTGTAAAAAGCTTACAGCATTTGTCAATTTTGTTATTTGTTCACTGCAATACATTTCAGAAAGCATTCCTTATTAAAGGAAAATAAAATATGACAGCAACTACCTTGGAAGTTTCAAGAGAGCCTACCCTTTTCAAAAAAATCTAAATCATAGAAATGACCTGGAGGCCTATTGAACCTCATCCCCCTCCTGAGCCTCCTTTTTGCAGTATAGGTTATTATGGTATTCATGGGTGAAAGGACCAAGGTAAGGAGGGTCCCTATATGAGTTAGACTTTATTTTTAATAAGGTGAGAAATAAGGTAACTTCTCCAAAGGAAACGAAGATAACAATAGCTAACGTTTGCTGTAACAAGCCAAATTAAGCAAATACACATCACATTAACCTGGTTTTAATCTATGAGGGAGGTGCTGTTAGAAACCCATTTGACTAGCAGATAATCTACTTCCGTGATAGGATCTCGTTGATAGGGTACTGACTATTAATCTTGTTTTGGCAGAAAGAAACAACCTGTGTTCAGAATGAACTTTTAGGCTCCTGTTTATATTCTATAAAGGATATGCCTAAAACTCAAACTTCATTTAGCCTCAACATTATTTAACTAATTGTGACATTGTCCATTTTATTCCGGCAAAAGAAAATCCAAATTCATTCCTGTTATTGGTAAATTCCCATAACCAGGAATTACAAAAGCTTCAAACAACTGTTGTTTAGGGAATGGCAAAATATTCCTTTCTTTCATTTTACGGATACATTTTTAGCCAGATTAGGAGGATGACATCAAGATTTTGACTATAAGGAATATCACATTAAATGCATATGAATTTTTTATAAAATATGATATTTTTATTACAATGAAGACATGTTTAAACATATTGCTAGCATCTTTAAAAAACAAGAGCCACATTATTTGGCTGTATCAGTATGGAGTATAAAAAATAAGATCGTTTTTTGTGGAACAAAGTGTTACGACATATGAATTTACAAAGTTTACCTTAGTTCTGTGTAGCACTCATCTCTAATGTGTTCAGAACAATCAAAATACTTGCCTGCATCTATTTCACTGGAGACAAAACTTAGGCTTTTAATAATCTTTTTCCAGTATTTACAGAGATTATATGCCTATGAAAGACTGATCCTGCCTTCTGATGCTATTTCGTGGTAGCTTGACAGATTCTATTTTCATGGATTTAAAAAGTCCATGTGTCAGGGGAGCAGGATTAGGAGGGTTATTGGACTCTGAGGAGGAGTCCAGGTCCTCTCCCTCACTCCTGTTGTGGAGTTGCCCTTCTGGAATGGAAAGAAATAGAAACTTTGGAATGTGGAGTGGGAGGTAGAGGTTCAGTCCAAGCATAATTGGCTAGGAGGGAATCCTGGCGATTAGTGATGGCAGTTGAGGAAGATTTATTTTAATACCAGGGATTGGTGGTTGGGGGAGGATAAAAAAAAAAACTCTGGTCATTTCTTTAAAAAATAAAATAAAATAGTCATTCAATTTTCAACAAATACTTTCTAAGTGGCTACTGTAGGCCAGGGACTGTTCTAGGTGCCAAGGATACAGCAGTGAACAAGTTAGAGCTCTTCGTTCTAAGGGAGCAAGAGAAATTTTAGTATTAAGTGAATACTAAACACATGTAATTAAAGAACTGATACTTTGGTTTTCCTGGCAGCTTCACCATCACCATTAAAATAAAACTACAACTTATTATTAGGGTAGGTACCTTCATGGATACTGATGACATTTATTCAGTAAGTATAAATTAGCAATTTTATCTTTGCTTTTAAATGTGCAACTGGCCAGTCATTTTAAGTGACAGATGCTGCCTGGCTGATGGCATGGAACTTTTAAAAACCTCCTATCAGAGAATATGCTTCCAATCACCATTCTATTAGAACCCAAATGTGAGTTCAGTGGTCTAAGAGCCAGGATAAGTGGAGAACCTAACCTTCAGCCTTTTCCCTACTGGGTTCTTGGCCTCCACACAAGGTGGAGAGTTGTGGTCTGAGGGTACTTTTTCCCTTTGTTATTTAATGGGTACCAATTAAAAGATGTGGAATGTGTGGATCTCCACACCATCTTCTTTGCTTGTTGCTGTTGTTTTCTCTAAAGTGGGATCATTGTTATGAATCGTTTTAATGACCATAACCTCTCTTTCCTGAAATTTATAAAATAGAAAACTGGCAGCCAAGGAAAGCATGTCCAGGGGTGGTATGGAAGATGACTCATGTAGGCTGAACCCAGAAATCCATCACTCTTAGCAAGATCTGCATCCCCTTTCTCCTATGAGAAAGAGCTTATGCCTTGGCCAAAAGAATCTAGTAGCTTTCTGCAGCGATATAAATGTTCTCTATTTTTGCCTTCCTTTAATGGAAGCCACTAGCCACATGTGGTTAAATACTGAGCACTTGAAACATGGTTAAGTGACAAGGAAACTGTATTTTTAATGTAATTTTAATTACTCTAAATAGCTACCTGTTGCTGGTGGCTACCATATTGGACAGGGCAACCTCAGGCAACAGGACATCTCTAACAATTAATAATAAACTAGCAAAGAGATAAATAAATTTATAAAAATAAATTGGGAAGAAAAACCCTATTCCACATGTAAGGGGTTCCCCCATAAGATGCCCATGTATCCAGTGATTAGCATTCTCTTGCCTTTCTTGTGTTTCATGCCTTTGTTTTGGAAAACTTCAGTGGGTGTTCCCTGACAGCTGGGCATTCGAAAATGCAGAGGACAGTGAAAAGACGGCCTATCAGAACCAGGGGTCTTGAGAGTAGTAACTCCAGGGCTTCATTGTAAAAGCAGCTGTTAAAACAAACTCTCCTCTTGTGCATCTCAGAGTTCAAGTTCATCGTGGTCATAAGTTCAGTTAAGGAGAAAGCATGTTTATGTGTTCAGTGGGTTGAAAGGGCAAGGCTTGATTGATGCTTTTTAGGAGAAGGCAAAAGTGGAAAACACCAGGTAGCCACCTTGTAGAAGCTTGAATTCCAAGAGATCATTCCCTCTTTGAAGGAAAAGTTTCAGGAAGGCAGCTTTTCATATTCATTGAACCCAGTAGGTGAAGGTTGAGCAGATTAGCTTTGCAGGGCTCTGTTTCAAAGACATATCAGAAGAAACCAAGTTGAGGCAATGTTTCTCCTCCATGACTGTAAATGTAGTCAATTAGTTTTGCAAAACTTAATGTCCACAGTGTTAAAAAAAAAAAAAAAACTCTTATTCATTCACATTTTTACTCTACACTGAGGGCCCCAAGAAATTTAAATTTATGCAACAACATTGACTGCAAATTGACTGATAATTATCAGTTCTCTTTCTCAGTGGCCAGATAGAATGTTTTCCCCACCTTTAGGGCAACATCCTGAATTAAACTATAATCTGACAGATGGTCTGTTTTCAGAAGCACTGATTAATCTGTTATGTTCATTCTCAGGTTGTCTATGCACTAAAATGAGAAATAGTTCAGATGATTCTCCCTAAGCCATTTTCTTCTGAAATATCTCAGAAAGTGAATGAATTGATATCTTCAGTTATCCACAAAAGAGCAGATTTTTTTCCCACTTAATTTTTTACACAATGTATTTCCTCCCATAATTATAGGGAGGACTTTATTATTATTATTATTATTATTATTATTATAACAGCCACTTACATTTTGGAACATTTACTTTGAGCTTGGAATTATGCGAAACAATTGACCCACATTTGTCTAACTTAATCCTCTCTACTTGATGAAGTCAGCACCATCGGAGAAGTTGCTTAGTTGATCTCACTGCTCAGTAGTGGTCTCTAGGTCTCACTGCTGGGAAGTGGCTGAACTAGGATTTGAACTTAGGATTTTATGAATTTTAAGCTACTGGTTTAAGCCAAGATATAATCCCCTCATCTCATTGTTTAGTTGATGAAATGGTAAAATGTAACCTGAGTGGAAAGAGTATGTCTACAATGTAAGATTTTATGTTATCCCAGAGTGTAATTCCTAATATTTGAAATGTTCCGAAATGAATTTGAGCCATTTACAAGTTTTGCTCTAGGGGATAAGCAAAGAAAATCGGGAATGAATATAAGAAAATTGTCTTAAACCAAGTAAAAGAGCAAGATTTGGGGTTTTCAGAAGATTTTAAGAAAAAAGCAACAACCAGTATTAAGCACATATTGGGTGCTATCTCTGGCATTTTTAATATAAATGGAATAACTTGAGGTAATAAATCTAAGTATTTAGTAGGTATATAGATAGTCAGGATGATAGATTTTGTTAGAGCCTGTTAGGAGACTTTATAGATGTTCATGGTGATGAGTTTCCTTGCAGAAAGTAAGATGCTATAGCACTTACAAGTGAATTATGAAAAATGATAAAATTTACTAAAATGTAATCTCACCATAATAACTCTCTGGTTGAAATAAAGCATATTCAATGCATTGGAATGTCTTCCAAACTATTTATTGAGCTAAAATTAAGCTACAGGGACTGAACTCTTCTTTTAGCAATGCTGAGTATTGTTCATTCCCATTGGTAGGACAGTCAACCACCTTGAACCCTGTTCTTGCATCCTCTTCCTCTCATCACTCCTCATTCTCACAACTACCTCTGTATTCCTTAGTCCATGTGGCAGGTGAATAAAACAGTTATGTTTTGGGAACTTGGTAAAATGAACAGAGGGAAATATAACAGGGAAAAAGCAGACTGTGTTTGCTTCTTTTTTCTTTGCTAGGACAGAGGAAGAAATATAGACAGAGCCAACACATTTTAAGTGAAAAACCTGTCTCCCCAATCATTTATTTAATTGCCCCATACCTTAATTTCCTTCTGCCTAATGAAACCCACAGTTCAAACTGGGTGCCTTTCTCAAACTAGGCATACTATAAACAATTTTGAAATGAATGAATGAGCTCAGCTACTCAGGTGCTGAACCCCTTATCACATTAGCCCAGAAATATGGAAGTAAAGAGCTAACTGGTAGAAGGGAATCATTAAAAAGAAAGACATAGGATTATTTAGTGCTGTTGTATTAATAATGATGATATCCTGACTTAGAGAGTCGTATGGTATTTATGTAAAAGAGTGTCCTTGATTTGAGGAAACAGAGTTTTAGAGATGATGGGATGTTATGTCTCTAAATTACTCTCAAATTGTTCAGGGAAAGACAAAATGATAATAGCATATAGAAAGAGATGGGAGGAGGAAATGTGGTGAAACGTTGGCAATTGGGGACTCAGGATGAGGAGATAAGGGACATCTTTATGATGTTCTTGCAATCTTTCTGTAAGTTGGAAAATTTTCAACATAAGTTAATTTATAAAATTTCTTAACATAAATATATTCAGAGTGTGTATTTTCCTTCACGAGGAAATAAAGAGTAGATCTGGATTTATTTCACAACTTTAAAAATTCTAACACATTCTAGGAAGCTGTTTTTAATCTCAGATCTGCACTGTAATGTGATAAAAAAAAGGGAGCGGGGTGTGGCAGTCAGAGCTCAGCAGAAATAGAATCTTTCCTACTTTTTTATTGGCTTTTTCCCATGATTTCTCTTTCCTAAGCCTTCTCTCCTCCTCCCTCCTCCCTCCTCCCCATCCCACCCATGCAGCTAAACTGAAAGGCTTCTGGGAATGGTGCATGTTTTTGCTTCCCTTTTCCCAGGGGAATCTAGACTTTCATTGCATCTCTTCCTAGTAAATTCCAGTAAATATCTGGCCATATGCAGACTCCCCCTTGTTTTTAATCGACTGCTACCCAGTCCACATCCAGATTCCTTTGAAAATGAAAGCATTTTCCCAAAAATGTGTGCTGTTTGTTTTCCTTGAGATTAATAAAAGTCCCGCCTAGCCCACTCACCTATTCCTGCCTTGGTATGTGTCCTTTCTTGGTGAAATCATTATTTCCTTCTTTTTGGTTGTCTTTGAATCAGACATAACATATCCGAGACCCCTGCAGGGTGCAGGGTCATGGACATGATGTCAGGGAGGAAGTGCTGTTCAGAAGAACGTGTTTATTCATTGTAATTGGGATCTTCATTGTTGTGCATGGGAATTGATTTCACGTTGTACACGGCACGTTTTCTATAGATGGGGGCTTCCCAACCCTTTTAGCTGTAGCCCCTGACTTCGTTGAGTGGATGTTCAGCAGGCCCTTTACAACCCCCTTCCACAAAGAATCTCTGTGTGCCCTGACCTCACCAAGTCAATTTGAATCAATTCAGAACTTGCTGAAAGACTTTCTGAGAACTTTAGTATAATTCAATAGTTCTCAACTGGGAGGTGATTTTAGCCTCCAGTGGACATTTGGCAATGTCTGGAGACAGTTTTGGTTGTTATGATGGGTATGCAGGTGCTATGCGCATCTAGTGGGTAGAGGCCAGGAATGCTGCTTAATAGTCTACAATGCACAGCACAACCCCAACAACAAAGAATTGGCTTACCCCAAATCTGGAAATAGTGCCACCATTGAGACATTTGGAGCCTCATTCAAAAGTGAAAGTTCAAAGTCATAGTTGCAACTCCCATAGCTATCTGAAAGCTCTTCTCTCTGGAGAGTTGAATTTCCCATAAAATGTAGGTGAGATTCCAGGGAGCCATCAAGGTCAGTCAAATCCAAGCAGGATTTTCAAGGATGAGCTGAAAATACGAGGTCTCAAACTTGTCTCACCAGACCATGAATCTGCAAATCAACAAGCAGCATCACTCATTTTGGGGGGTGGGGGTGAGGGTTAAAAGAAGTGGCAGATATTGTAAGTGTTTACAGATGTGCCCAGCAGATCAATAGACATTCTGCATGGTAACTTTGACAAGAGTAATAAACTTCAAAAGAACAGCATAAATGTGGGTGGGCATTTCTAAGAAACAAGGGTTATATCCTCATCATGTTCATTATGTTAGTATTATGTGATAGCACTGATAGTTCATATATAGAGATTCCTTTTTAGGTTTATGTTTCACACAGAGCTTCCCATATCAGTGATATAATTTGAATATATGAATATGCCAGCAGTATCTAGGAATTGGTCCAACTTGAGCGTCAGAGTTGAGTATATAGTTTCTCTTTGGGGAACTCTTCTAGAAGTAGGATTAATTCTAGTGAGCATTCTACCTGAGAATTTCTGATTAGGGACTAAGACAGCAGTACATAAAGTGTTCCATGGAATGTGAATAGGTATGAAGCAGGATTTCCCAACCTTGACACTATTGTCATTTGAGGCCAGATAATTTTTTGTTGTGGGGACTGTTTGGGACATTATAGATGCTTATCAGCATCCTTGGCCTCTACCTACTGGATGCCAATAGCATACCCCCTCGGTTGTGACAGTGAAAAATGTCTTCAGACATTGCCAAATGTTCCCTGGGAGGCAATATCACTCTTCCTTTTCTGCCAGGTAGTTCTATGAATTTCTCACAGCAGAATTTCTCTTTCCATATTCCTATGGGCATTAGATGGGTAGAATCGTCAGCATTTCCCAGACATATTTGATACCAAGTCCCTATTTGTTAAATCAGAGAAGTCTGAGGTTATAAAATCATTCCCTTCCTCCTCTCAGGGAAATGAAATCCTTATGTTGTAGAGATCACCAGGTTTTCACAGTCAGACGTTTCCACTTTATCTGGGTTTTTAAAAATCCCATCAGAGAAAACTATACTAGGGGATCACCTTTTCCAAATATGTGGCATTAACTTGACTTTCCTATACATGAACTTCTGGGGAAGCAATTTTCTACAGTTCTACCTCCTCGTACCTCCTCTTTTCCACTCTGCAAATCTTTGCTTCTCTAGCAGATGGCAAATGCTATATATTTCCCAACCCCAACCCCCATGCCACACAAACACACTCAAAATGGCAGGCACAACTCTGAGACCAGAGGGTCAGAAAACATTTTAGATGATATGTTTTGGTCCCAGAAGGAAAATCAATCTCAACTCTTTTCCTTTAAAAAGGTCATTATCAATGGCCATAAACACTAGTAGTGACTCCAAAGCTTTGAGACTGGAGACGAAATCTACTGATAGAGGAAAGGCAAAGAAAATAAACCCAAGACACTGTCATCAACCTCAGAAATTTTATGGTGGAACCTACATTCTAATGAAACATTGGATTTTCCCTGCAATGTTCAAACTTTATTTGATGGAAGACTACAGAAATGTTTATTAAAGAACAGACTTATGCACTGGTGCCCAATGTGGAGGAGATCTTGGTTTTCCATAAGGAAAGTGGATGCTGCCTTTCAGAATTAATTGGAACCTTAAATTACCAATTGGCTATGTGAAAAGCCCTTTAAAATTAGAAATTGAATTTTGACTTTTACCTAACTATAATCTTACCAGTAATTCTAGGCTATAAATTGAGCACATGCAAATGTTTTGCCTAGGAAAGAATCCCTAAAAAAACGAGAAATCTCGGCCAGGCGTGGTGACTCATGCCTGTAATTCCAGCACTTTGGGAAGCCCAAGGCGGGTGGTTGCTTGAGCCCAGGAGTTCGAGACCAGCCTTGACAACATGGTGAAATCCCATCTCTACCAAAAATACAAAAATTAGCCAGTCTCATAACCTGGTCTCTAAATAAATAAATAGATTAATATTTTAAATAAAATTAAATTTTTTAAAAAAAACAGAAATTGCCCCTAAACAAAGACAGACCACCACCACCAAAAAGCTCACTGCTCTGAATGAATGACTTTCTCCACTTCAGTAGTTATCAACTGATGGACAATTAATTGTCTTACATTTCCTGATGTGACACATAAATGCGCCCATTTGCAATTGGCCAAATGGATTTGACTAGAAGTGGAAAAAAATAACAAAGGCCCTCATTTATTAAACATCTGATAGAGCCATGGCCTTGACCAGGCCCTTTGCATACATTATTGCCAATCCTCTTATAATCCTTGCAGAATAGGTCTTATGATGTCCATTGTGCAGATAGGACTTCTCTGAGATTCAGAGAAGTTAAGAAAGGTTCCCAATAATTATGCAATCAGTAATTATTGAATCCAGACCTGATGGACTCCAAAGCCCCATGTTTTTCCACCGCCTGTCTTGGGGAGCTTTCAAAACTTCTAGAAACATGAATTTTGATTTGTGATGCATAAAAGAAACAAGCCTGAGTAGAAACCAGTTCAGCCTTCTTTTGCTTTGTAAAAGTCCCTGGGACTGAGTCCTTGGGATCTGAATGTTTCCCAAGGGTTTTCAGCCAGATTCCTGATTTTGTTTATTTTGCTTATCACAAGTCAGAGATAGCTGAATATTTGCATTTCTGAATAGGACCTTTTTTACATTTCACTTGGTTTTGAATGGCTTTCAAAGAAACTCAAAAATTGGACTGGGTCACCCAGCAACCTCAGGCCAGAGCTTTGAAATAGATCAGTTTCCCCGGACTTTCACAGCATCCTAAAATGATGAGAATTAGTACATTTGTAAGGAAAGGTTCTAGTGAGTTAAGAAAATTTGGTCTTTCTGGACATGGCCTGATCCTAATATTTGGGTAAAAAGTACTCTACATAATAGGTAGACTTGGTGGGAACTGGCTGTAGAGAGTTTGCAGGAGAGTGACTATGATTTCATTCTATCAAATTCACTCTACAAAATCTTGGGCTCAGTGTTGGTTTTAGAGTCCTGAATATCCTATACTTTGAAAGCAAGCCTTTTTCTAAATGGAAGAAAACTTATAAAAAAATTGGTCAGGATCACTGAGAAGCATTGTTTTAGATCAGAAGAGTGAATCTTCAGTTTTCTGCTTTTAGATGTTTCCAGCCAGAAGAAAGAAAATACCTGGCCTGGATAAAACCCATTTTTACGTATTGCATTTCATTGTATTCTGTTTTTCCTCTCTCTATATATATATATATGTGTATATATACATTTTTCCACCCATCTGACAAAAATGTCGCTCTAAGATGACATCTTCAGGGAGGGGAAACAACATTATATGACGCTCAGGGTATGTGGTGGGATCAGTGGCTAAGAATGCACTGTCAATGTTTCTTGCATTTGCAGGGCAGTGTAGTATTCTGAGTTCCTAGCTTCTGCTTGTTTTACATGATATTCTCAAATAATTTTCCCTTTGGATGTCCCCTGTGCATTTAGTTCTGTAGATATGAGTTGAATATTAAACCACAGGAATACGTGGCTAGTTTTGGACTGAATGGATATAAGAAACAGGAGACAATAATCATTATTTATTTGGTTCTAATAATAAACTGAGCATTGTGCAGAATGTTTACTTAATCTTTATTCTTGTGAGATAAGTGGTTCTAGGTTCTATTAGATATTATTTATTCACTTGTTTCATGAATTCATTTGTACATTCCATAAATGTTTGAGTGTTTTTTATAAACCAGGTACCATTCTAGGCATTTCAGATATAGGAGTGAAAAAAAAACAAAAAAACCTTTGAACTCATTATGCTTACATTCTAGTGGGGGAGTGGAGACAAGCTACAAATCACAAACAAAACAAAAAAGTCAAATATATATTATGAAAAAGGATGGCAATTGCCATAGATAAAAATAAATTAGGGAAGGGGGATAGGAGGTAGTATGGGAGAGTAGGTGGGAATTAGATTAAATTAAATTAGAACTTAATTAAATTAATTTAAAGGCGGTTTAGGGAAGTCTCCATTACAAAAGTGACATTTGAGCAAAGATAGGAGAAAACACAAAAGCAAGCCATGTGAGTATCTGGGAGAGTATTACAGGTTAAGGCCTGAAAGCAAGAATACACCAGGCATCTCTTAGTGATAGCAAAGAAACTACTGTGGCTAGAAGAGAGGGTGTGAATGATAGGATAGAAAATTACAGATAAAACTGAGGGAGACGAACATGAAGGCAGACTGTTGGGCAAGGAGAGGAAGGAGGGTTAGCCTATTGGAAGAAGTTTTTGTTTTCACTTTGAGTGAGATAGGAAGGGACTGGCAGTGAAAGGGTGGGTGGAGGCACTAAGTAGGAACATGAATTTGCTTTTAAAGGTTGACTCTGGCTTCTGAATTTAGCAGAGGGTACACGAGGAACACAGATGGAAGTGGTAAGACCATTGTAGTAACTCAGATGAGAGAAAGCATTGCTCAGATGACAGTGGTCACAAGGGAAGTGGTAGGATTCAGAAGAATTTTTGAGATAGTGCCAGAGGATTAGCTGAGAGTTTGACTATAGGGTGCAAGAGTCAGAAAGGGGTCAAAATGACTCCCAAGTTTTATGGACTGGACAGGTGAAAGGATGGAGTTGCCACCAGTTAAAATGGGGAAGCCTATAGGAAGAACAGATTTGTGGAGGAAGATCAGGACTTCCATTTTGAACATGTTAAGTTTGAGATGTGTAGGCATCATCATTTCATATCTCTGTTAAACAGAATTGAATATAGATGCTTGCAGTGGTTAAGTATCTTGCAAAAAATAATAAAGAAAGATATCTCCAGTCAGACCAGGTCTGACTGTCCTAACACTGTGTTCATAGCTACTACACCCTTCTGCCTCGATCTTTCGATTTCCATCTGAATACATCTCAGAGTAGTGTAGTAATCAGTTGAATTTGCAGAAAACCATCAAACATAATTTTAGCCTTTGAAAATGCCAAGTCTTCCGTGTTGTGAGCCATTTACATTTTCTCTGGTTATTTCTTCTCATCCCATCCTTTCATAGTGGTACTTTTGAGCCTTTTTTTTTTTTTTTTTTTTTTTTTTTTTTTTTTAACCAAAAAGAAGGCAGGAAAAGGAGACAAGAAAAGCCACAAAGGATTTGAATAATGCATATTGAGAGTGACTGTGTGCTGTCCAAACTCCCGATAGAGCAATGCTAAATTGGAGGATGAGCATCTAATTCGATAATGGTTAAAATGACCTTTATCCCTGCTGCTGAGATACATTTCTCTGGATACAGGCTCAGACACATGTGCACATCTTAGTTCTGGAGTTGGCATTAATATCCACCCACAAGTAAATTAATTACATAAGCTGCTCCCCAAAAAAATGTTATAAAATTTTCAGGATAGTCTGCCTGACATGCTGGCCTGTAAAGATGCTCCTTTCACATCGAGCTAACATAGGAAGAGCTAGACAGTCAGAGAAAGCAAGACTGGAGGAAGCAATGGAATGAACTGTGTCCCCGGTGTCTTTTAAATGACTTGTTGACACATAGATAGTTCTTTGGGATGAGGACAAGATCCAGGGGGCAGACATTGGTTAGGTACATGGATCGCTTCTCTACAGAAGCATTTCAGAGGGTGGCTGAAGCTTTCCAGCTCTGTCCCCTGACTGCTTTTGACAGTAGCATAAGTCATGTCAAGTGGGTCTGCCCCAGCACTGTCATCTCCTAGCAGACTGACATCTCCAGGTAGCCTTGAACTCTCCAGTCCAGGCCTTCAATCACAGTCCACCTTGAGAGTACCAAGAAACTTTGGTCACTGTTTCTACCAGTCATAGCTTTCCCACCAATTACTTAATCAGACACAACTTCACTCACCTCTGGAACAAATCTCTCACCCACTGCCCTCCCTGTCTTCCAGACGGCTTTCATAAATAATCCCATGGCAGGCACAGAGTGGGTCCTTGTATTATCTTCACCTCTTTCCTGAAAAATGTGAACATCATTATTCTGCTGATGTCAGGTTACAAATAATCATTTGTAGGGCAGTGTAGTAAACCTTAAAAAGGAAAAGAAGTCCTACAAAAACAGGCAATGTGTTTGGGAATGAGGAATCAACTGGGTAATGGAGCCCTGTTACCCCCATGAGGGGTAACACTGCCTGGTGATTGTTGTCTTCAGTTCTCCAGGGTATCCCTGGATATAGCCACGATAGAATTCGCCAGGTGCTACATTTGTGGATTTCCTTGGTTTTTGTTCCTTTCTTGATGGGGAAACCAACTGTAAAATATTTCCACTCTTGCACAACAAAAAGAGCCCTAACTTGGGTTTCATAGCTTGCATAACTAATTTCATATACTGCTATATTTAATGTTGAAATTTATTTTCCCTTCTAATATGAAGTTGTTACATTGTGAGATCAAAGGTTGGGGAACTGGAGAGCCCTATCCCCCATATTCCTGGGGGCGATGGGGTGGGAGTAGAAGGTGTGAACCCCTCGCTGTCTCCCTTTATTTGCCTGGCCCTGCCATCTCCCTTACAAAGCATATGCAGGGCCACCTACTTGGTTCTCATATTGACAGCAGCCTTCGACTGTGCTCCAAGAGTTGACATGTGAATCTTGGTTCCTTTTCTTAGACCTTTGTAGCATTGCAAAGGCTGGAGTGTTGGGGGGCAGTGGGGACGGGAGGATGGCCTAATGCCCCATCCGGCTGGGATGACCGTGACTCCCACATCCGCTTTCTTCCTTGGTGTTCCCTGCCAATCTCAGGCGCTCTCAGCTCCTTTTCATGGTAATAAGTGCCAGGGTGGTCCCAGACATAAACAGCCATCAGGCAGGCCTTGTCAACACTGGCTTTACGCCCTGAAGTCACAGCCCTTGTTTCCTGGTAAAGCTTTCTCTCCCTTCTTCCTCAATATTTTGGTTGTCGCTGCCACTGTTCAGAGCCATTCTCGTTTTGTGAGAAGCCTGTAAAACCTCCCCTAAGTGGGTTCATTGCCAATAAGGAGATACGTTTTTTGACAAAGGACTGTGACAACTCTCACAGCAGAGCAGGGCGTGGCAGGGAAGTGAGTGACTGTGGATTCCGTAATGGTTATCATTGACGCTGCTTCTGTGACTCAGGACATTTAAAGAAATGGCATAACAAAAGACAAGGGAGAAGCGCAGGAGTTCTTGAGAAAAAATAAGTGTAAGCAGGGAATGATGGAGGAGAAAAGGGATGTGGCATTCAGATATAGCATCTTTCTTCTTACTCTGTTGAGAAGAGACAATATTGATAAGTAATAGTCTCTAAGAGAGAAAGGGGCACCATGGAAGGAATCTTCAACATGTATGACTGCTCTGTGGATTGATTTCTCTGGGACCTTTGGAGAGAAAAGCACTTTGCCCATTTACGGGGATGAGATCTTGCCAAAGTCCTACCTTTACCTATCCATGCCTCTGTTAGAATGTTAGACTCCATTAGTTAACAAATATTTTTTTTAAAACTCACCTTTTAAACTTGGTGTTAAGAGATATTCTAAGAGTCCACTGAATAGAAATAATAGTAGTGATGATGCCCAAAACAATGTACCATTTGTATGCCATCTGGCTGAAACACAAAGAGCTTTGCGTGCATTATCTCATTTAATTGTAGCACAATGACATTGGGTACAGATACTACTATTCTTCCATCTTAGAGAGAACAAATCTGAGCTGAGAGAGGTGAAGTCACTTGCCCCTAGTGGCACCTTGGTAAAATGACAGGTAGGATTGCGGCCCAGGTCTGTCTGACTCTCAAACCTTTGCAACATTTTAGAGCAAAATGAAGACATGCACCCTCCCCACCACCCCAGCTGCCATTTCCTGTGTTGGCAGCACCCAAGCACAGCCACCCCTTGGAATTTGCTCTTCACTGGTTGCTTTGGAACAAGAGGTTGTTACACTCTTGCTTGGGAATGAGAAAGAATCAGAGTGCGTGGTTAGCTCTGGTTTTTGAACAGTACCAGAACCTAGCCCCAGGCCTCCATTGCAACTGAAACCAAATAGCGTTCTGTACTAGGGACAGAAGCTTCTTCAGCCTGCATTTTCTCCTTCCCTGCTGTGTGACCTTGAGCACAACGTGTCTCCTTTTCTCTAGTCTTGAATTTGTAAAATAAATAGATGGACAGGATAATCTTTGAGATGCCCTGCAGATTGAACATTTGAGAGATTTTTCCTTGGTGAATTGCCAGGGGGCCAAAATTTACAACCTGCAGCCTTTGCTTCTTGACCATGTAAAGAGCATTCACCCGTCAATGGAAACAGTAATTTACTATGTGGCATCTGGCAGGCCTCAAAGAGTTAATAAACCCTGAAAAATGGCCAAGAGAAAAGTAGTGTCGCTTCAGCCAAGGGGAAATGTGGCCCTTTATTTATGGGATTGTATGTTTGCTTTTTGTAGTGTCTTTCTTCACAGGCACTAAAGGTGTTGTGAGAAAAGGTATTAAAGTCAGAACTATTAACATTGCATAGCTACTCTCTTCCTGGAAGACTGAGGAATCAGGCAACTCTAAAATAGTCTTAAGACACATTTCTTGAGGTCCTTGCTTTCTGTTGTTGCCGTGGGTGTAAGTAGAGGTGAGCAACTGGTTGTCTTAACCAGGCCATTTTTCCAGTGTAGCCTAAGGATTAAAGTGGTTGGGGTGTGTGTGTGTGTGTGTGTGTGTGTGTGTGTGTGTGTGTGTATGTTTCTTGCCCTGTCAACCAGGTTGGAGTGCAGTAGCACAGTCATAGCTCACTAACCCCAAACTCCTAGGCTAAATCAATGTTCCTACCTCAGTCACCCAAGCAGTTGGAACAATAGCCATGCACGATGCCCAGCTAATTTTTCTTTCTCTTTTTTTTGTTTTTTTGTTTTTTGTTTTTTGTTTTCTGTAGAGATGGGGTCTTGTCATATTGCCCAGGCTGGTCTCAAACTCCTGAGTTCAAGTGATCCTCCCACCTCTGCCTCCCAAAATTCTGGGATTAAAGTCATGAACCAGAGTGACCAGCCCATGCTGTATTTAAAGCCTAACTCTCCTCCTTCCTAGTGCTGTGACCCTGGGCAAGTGACATCACCTCTTTGACCCTCAGTCTCCTTATCGATATAAAAAAAATCCTAATAGCGCCTGAGCCACCAGACTGCTGCTGGAATTAAATGAGAGAAGTCAATGTTCTTTAGCCCAGTATCCTGCTCTTAATAAGAACACAATGAAAGGTAGCTAGTATGATTTTCAGGAGTTCTGCTCAAACTGAAAGAGAGTGCCCTTGGGGTGGCCTTTTTGAATCTAAATAACTTGTGCCAAATGAGTTCGGCGTTAGCACCGTGAGTCGGATTCCAGGTGGTTCTTTCTTTCCGACCTTTACAAAAACATGACATTTGCTTTATAGTACACCTCTGTGATGGCTATAGCTTTCATATGTTTGTTCATTTCCATAAATATTTGCTGACTGACTACAGTGTGGAAAGCAGCAAGTAAACATATGTGAGTTGCGGCTACTATCTTTTTTCCATGTGGTAAGCCCCACATGGTTTTCCAGGCCTTCCACTGAGCAACGTTTGAAACTTTGATCACTAAATCTATATCCTTGTGCTCATGGTCTTTCTTCAGTGGAACAATAGGTACAGGCTGGCATCTCCTTTGCTTCCCCCAACAGTGTGACGCCCAGGCAGTATTCACTGCATTTGTCACTATAATTGGCAAAGGCAGTCCTGAACCTTGGGCATACGCGTTGCATCCTTTCTGATGACATACTTTCCAGATGAGCTGTGATTTTATGTTTTGTTAAAGTTAAAATGAGAGTAGAATCAAGAAGAGCTTGTTGTTGTATGAAAAGATACAACTGAACATTTTTTAAATGAAGTGATTTAAATGTTACTCTCATAGTCTGTAGACTCACAAAGGAAAGACCTTGAATAGTAATTCAGTCTCCTGTCTCAAAACACCTATCTGAGTGATGGTTAGCCATCTGTTGTCAAAAATCCTTAGATCAGAAGAGCCTTGACAACTTGGTAATAGGTTCTATTATATGACATTTCTCTTGGCTTTTCAGTGCTTGTTATTTCTCACCTGCTGTCAGCCAGTCCTGTGGTTGGAAATATGGACTAGTTGGTCAATACCCCCATTTCATATTTCATATATACAGATTTTCTCATCGATAAAGAACAATTGGAGATGGGAATCACCTAGATACATAGAACTGTGCCCAGACACTGTGCTAGGGCTGTCCCCCTGGCCCATCCATTAGTCCTTGTGTAGCGGGCATCTGCCATAACTCAGGTAGTCCTGGTCCTCATTCAATCGCCTTCTAGTGGTTTTTCTAAGCCCTTGCTTTTTCTTTTCTCTTTTCTTTTTTTCTTTTTTTTTTTTTTTTAAGATGGAGTCTCGCTCGCACTGTCGCCAGGCTGGAGTGCAGTGGAGGATCTCGGCTCACTGCAACCTCCGCCTCCCAGTTTCAAGTGATTCTCCTTCCTCAGCCTCCTGAGTAGATAAAACTACAGGTGCATGCCACCATGCCCAGCTAGTTTTTGTATTTTTAGTAGAGAAAGGGTTTCACCATGTTGGCTAGGATGGTCCTGATCTCTTGACCTTGTGATCCACCTGCCTCAACCTCCCAAAGTGCTGGGATTACAGGCGTGAGCCACTGCACCCAGCTGCCCCTGCTTTTTCTAAGCCCCAGCATCTTCCACCCCCACCCAGAAGCCTCCTTCTGGCCAGATCCTGTGTACATCTCTGACCTCTACCTTCCCCTTCTTATTCCTTCTTGGTTCCTTATGGTATCTTTAGCAGCTCTGTGTAGAAATCCATCTTCTTTTGGATGTCCAGGTTCTTGGCAGCCTTGGCAACCCCAGGGATCCCATTCTCTTTAGTTATCCAGCCCTTCTCATTCAGGTAGACGCACCAGGGCTGTTTTCTGGCTTCTCAATAACTAAGAAACCATGTTCCTCGGTATAGGTGAAAGGACCAATGTGGGGCACCCCTAAAACCAGAGACAGCACACCAAACCCAAATTCGTCTGCACCATATCCAGTGCTACTGCTTGAGAGAGAGCCCTCGATAGAGGTTAAGAACAGACGGCCCATGTCTTAAGTTTCCTTTCCACCAGATAAATTGAAATGCAAGGATTTCAAGCACTTAGACCTTAATTAGTGAAAAGTTTTATCACAACATCTGAACAAAATGCCACATTTCAACATCCCCTTCAAACCACCTCACAGAAACAAAAGCCTGAATACCCAAGCACTTGGGATGCTGACCTTGGTACTGCTAAGTAAAAAGCGGATATTACATTGTCTGGGAGTCTTGCTCAAAGTTGGGAGGAAAATCATTCTGTTACACAAAGTTGGGTTGTTTCCCAAGAAAAAAAAGTGAGAGTCCTATTGGCAAAGTAGGAGGCTTTTTGGCTGTGAATTTGAGGAACTAAATATTCCCTAGAGCAAGAACTTGTCAGATGTGTAACCAATAAACAGCATGTACTAGGTGACGCACTAAATTTGACCATTATGTCTCGGTGACACATGGTGATGTAAAAGTCAGTGCCTGAGAAAGGACTGGAAATGATCAGATGGAAATGTCCCTCAGAATGTAAGAGCTGAAACTTGTGTTTATTTGATGATCAAAATGACAGCCCCTCTATCAAATCATAGTAGACCCATTAATAAACCTGTTAGATTTGAACATTTCCATGAGCAGCTGCTTTTCTTCATTGGTAAGTTAGAAAGCATTAAAAGAAGAGTGTTTGCTATCAGATTAGATACCTTGAGAATTTCCTAATTGCCTTTAGATCTTAACAATATTAGGCAAATAATATGTGTGGCAAGTGCTTCATTGTTTTTTCCAAGTCAATTCCAGTCAAGTCCCCAAATTTAAAAACAAAAACAAAACACTGGAATGGGTAGGTTGCAGCTAGTCCAGACAGTAAAAAGATAAGGCATTGTATGTAGAAACTACTTCATTCATCTTCATTCCATGAGCAATAGATGTCAGTTATACCTCAGATAAATTTTTATCAGTAAGTTTGGTGATAATTTAACTATTTTTCATTGTGCTTTTATTGTTTCCAACAGAAATGTATTGATTTGTGTTGAAGTCATGTGGGAAGCACTATATAAAGCACTGCAGTTATGCCATTCTGAAAACACCAATGGTCTCCACTAATAGTACCTACCTCTATTACTGAGTTTCACTGGATTATTGGGATGATTAAATTAGATGATGCATATAAAGTCTTAGGGTAATGCCTGGCTCATAAATGTGAGAGAGTTGTGCCTTTTCCAATTATTCTTCTACAGATTGTTGCCAACTTTTAGGCTGTACCTTCTGATGACCACAGTAGATTGCTAAATTAATATTTCTAACAACTCTCTTTTCCCTTATATATTAAGAGACAGCTTGTTTGGACTATTTGTATATTGAAATGAGTATCCTTACAGATAGACTTGTGTTAAGGTCACCCATGTTCGTTTCTTTACCCTAGTCAAGCAAATTTTATCACCCATAATTCTATATTGTTTAAGTTTAACTCATTTCCTAGAAATAAATGTATCTTTGATTCCCAATGCTGTATCTCCCAGTTTTCCCCCATCTCTGTAAGTGTTATCACTGTCTACCCAGTGGCCCAAACCAGAAACCTGAAAGTTATCCCTGATACTGCCCTTTCCTCTCCACCCTAGAGTAGATCCATCATTTCTACTTAAAAAAAAAAAAAAATACATCTTAATTCCACCAACTTCCCCTATCCAAGCATTCCTGAGTCAGTTTCTCATTTCCACTCACACTGTATTCCCATTTGGGCTCTACTCAACAAAGTAAATGTTTTGAAACAAAAATTAGACCATGTCTTACTCTGACTTGAAACTCTTCAGTGATCTTTCATCTTGTGCAGAATAAAATCCAAACTCATAATTGTAGTTCATAGCTTTGCTGCCTGACCCCAGGAAGCCCCTCAGTGAGCCCTCTTCCAACCACTCCAGCCTGTTTGTTTCCTAGTACTTATCTCAATGAATAACCATATATTTATTTTTGTCATCACTTAAGTGATGTCAGTTTCCCTCACTGGTCTGTAAGCTCCATGAAGGTAGAGACTTGTCAGTTTTGTTTATCACTATATTTCTAGTACTTTGCACAATTTCTGGAACATAGTAGGTGCTCTATAAATGTTTGTCGCATAAATAAATGAATTCATTCCGAATTCAATTGAACCCTTATATTATTTTCTTTTTGGAGAAACATTTTAAAATATTAAAATTGGTCACTATTAATAGGGATTATCTGTGTGCAAGTCATCAGTCCACTTTTAGAGTTTGTGGAGATACTTCTAGGAACTTCATTCTAAAAGCCTTTTAGAATTATATCGCAAAGTCTTTATATAGATCAAACACTATAGGCTGAATGATGAATATTTTTGTTTTGGTATAGAGATTTCAAGTTGGGTGCCTTCCTTCCATCCTGTATACTCTATTAAGATTTTCAGAATGACTACTCCAAAACATAATATTCATAAAATTAGAGCCCAAATGAAAACAGCAATATTTTTACCTCCTAAAGTTAAAAAAATTAAAGCCAAATGTATTAATATGCATACTTTACATTTCTCTATGAGCAACTATTGAAAATTTTATAGTGGTTTGTGTTTACTAGAAAAACATGTCTGGTACATTTATGAATGGATAACTGTGAGCATGCTTGGTAATAGTGGCTGAATTAATGTGAGGCTACATGTTTCACATGGTGCTATTTATTAGGCATAAAAGGGCATGTTGGTAATTTAACAAAATCACAAAGTTAGTGGGGGAAATAAGAAATATTGAATGGAAGGAAGTGACACTTAAAATCTGTTTTCATTGCATTTTCACATTTTGTTCTTCATTCTTAAACTCATTTCCCTCTAAAAAGCAAGACCATTATATTGGGAAATAATGTGTCTTGAAAACCTGAGCCAGCAGCTTATGATCCGAGTGGTAATGACTTCTGTAATCACTAATGAGGCAATGGACATTGCATATCTCAGCACACTCAACTGGGGCCAGCCTCTTGCCTGTTTTACAAAAAGCTGTCATATCAAATTTTTGTCCCGACTCCATGGGCACTTTGATTCCTAAACCTTTCTGAGAAACCTAATCTGAAATCAAAGTCAAGTTTCTCAGATGTGGTCAGACAAGGTCACATTTAAAACAGTCCAGTGAATCTGCAGATCAAAGTTGAAAGGTAATGCCTCCCTCCCAAAATTGGCACAGACTTACCTGCTAGCTTACCTTTCAGTTTCTAACGTGCCTTTTTCACCTCTTCCCAATGGACTGGGAAAATGAGAGCTTATCTTCTGGAAAACGGTTGAAGAGTTTTATTCTTAAATCATTTAATGAAGAAATTGAACATAGTTGTATTTTGGAAATGCACCTTTATCCCAATCAGTGAATCACAAGGCATTTTGTTGAAGAAATATCTCACTATTTCATAGTAGGACTTCTTAAAATCAGAATTTCATGGTAATTTCAGGTTCATGAGCTTTATTTTTGGCTCCAATGATCAGGATTTACCCACACTCTTGAGTGAGCCAAAATGCCACACAGGATTGCTGCTGTAATGCTATGGACTTTTTTTTTCAATGCCACCTTCCTTCCCTATTGAGCCTTGAGATATTATCCAAACTGGTGCTGTAAAAGAGGGGAATGGTAACTCTTGTTAGGCATTGTCTTAACATCTCACAACGCAGGTTTTTTCTCAAACTCCATGTGATTAAAAAACAACAACAACCTTGCCATTGCTTTATATTGCAGTGTTCTGTCTCTTGTGGTCGAGGGCATAAACAACGAAATGTTTACTGCATGGCAAAAGATGGAAGCCATTTAGAAAGTGATTACTGTAAACACCTGGCTAAGCCACATGGGCACAGAAAGTGCCGAGGAGGAAGATGCCCCAAATGGAAAACTGGCGCTTGGAGTCAGGTGAGCAATGCTTCTCCTCTACTGACTGCTTCCTTACTTTTGGCCACGTGGCTGACACCAGTGTGTTCACTTGTGTTTCTATGCATGGTTTTGGTTTTACCGACGGGAGCTCGGGGACTGGGAGGGGAGAATCATTACCTAGATAGTCAGGATACTTACTAGCTGTGTGACATTGGGCTTCAGCCTCTGGAGCTTTGGATGATACCTATAATTAGGGGTGGCAGTGAGGGTGAATTCTAAGTGGAAATAGGGGTCAGATGGAGCACAGAGCAGTCCTTTAATACTTCACTGATGGCATTGCATTATCACCACTTAGAAAACTACTAATTCAGACTGCACTGAAGCTGACCATGGTCACCTGGCAGAAATTGAGTCTTGGTTTACCTTGGTGGTTCTTGAAGAAAGGGCTATCAACAGAAAGTATTAGAAAATACCTCTGCCCGTTTGCTTATTTACAAAAGGTGAAGGACAGGAGGGAGAGTTCTCTGTTATTTTCCAGCTATATGACCTTGGGTAATTTAGTTTTCCCGAGCCTACTACACCTGGCTCTTATGACGACTTAATACAATCATGAATGCCCCGTGCTTTGCAGGGGTCTTGAATCTAGTAGGCTCTCAAGAGTAATATTTTATTTGAGCAAGTGTGCTGTGTGTATGGGATGGAGAAGGGGGTGAGTGCCCAAGACACTGATTACAGTTAGACTCCACTAATTCTAAACATTTCATAAGCTAGTCAGGAACTGGGTGTGAGTTTCCCTGTTGAACTTGAAACAGGAACTTTAGAAGCTTCTGTTTAATCTATAAACACTGGATATGTGAACTAAAGCCATTCATATCAAATCTTTAGAATAGATCTGGTAACTCTACACTTGCACATTTTCTTAGTTTGGTTGAAGGTGCTAACTTAAAAGTAATAAGGCTCAATTTCTTTTAAAATATTTTGTATTTAATGCTGCTCCTTCTCTCCACTAATCTGAATCAATGAGGTTTTACTGTATTTCTGGTGCTTCCATGCAGTGGAGAATCATTCAGATGACTCCAGATAATCGATGGGAATCTAGATTCAAGGTTGGCGGGCTCTAGAATGGATTCTTCCAGAGCCTAGAATCTTTATTCTTAAGGCCCCAAAATAGCTTTGGTCATAGCTACATTAACATGGGGAGGATTTGAGAATCCTCCATTTCAATATGACTAATGGAAAATTCCTTCAGAAACCTGAATGTATTTTCAGTGCCCTGATCTGGCATCACTGCCCTCCATATCTTCCATCATCAATCCCCAGGACAGTGGCCTCATCCCTCTCAAGGCCTTGATCGTAATGAAACACGGGGGTTTTGTTTGTTTTAATTTAACAATAAGAAAATAAATCTGTACCCAGCCAGAGCTAGTTCCTCCTTTGCTTTCCTTCAGGGAGCATATTCAAGGCAGTATTTCATACCAATCATCCTTCTTAATGTTTTTCTAAGTGATCCTTGTCATCTGTTAACTTTCATCCCTTTTATTTTTTGGAGCTATTTGATTCATGTAAAAGCTCGCAGCTAGCATTACTTAAGATACCATGCTAATTAGCGTGTCCTCTTGTGGACTTTCATGATCTGTTACTTTTGTATGTTCCTTGGCCTCTACTTATCTATTTGTATTTACCTCTGAATATCAAGTTCAGAGCACGTAAGTGATGCTCATGTTAAAAGCCAATATTCACAAAGGATAATTAAAAGAATATTTTGGTCTTTATTGGTAAACACAGAGTGAGTTTTAATCCAGCATCGTGTGATCTTGATGGGAAGCCTAAAATTGCTTACAAAGCTGAAATGATTAGGTTTAAACCCTGGGGGTTTTTGCCAACATAAGGTAATAGGATTATCAGAATGCCTCCCCAGAAAAAACTGCACCTGTTCAAAATGATTGCTTGGAAAAATCAAGTCACTTTTGTAGAAAATGCAAGTAAACACAGTTATATAATGGTCTGTGGCCAGCCTTATAATGTCCTGATTTGATTTGTAGAAATGAATTATAAAAGCAGGCAAGACAAAGTACTGCATGGGTAAAATTCAATTTGGGTAATTTAGAAGTGTACCTGAAAATAATCAGACCCAGTGGTTAATGGAGAAAGACGGTCTGCATGATTAAGGATTATTGGCTTCCTAATGATCCAGTGGTAAACAAGAATATCCCTAAGGCTGTGATATTAAGCAAGAGTAATGATTGTCCACTTGCAGCAATATTTAGAAGATTTTATATCTGGCCTTTCTGTTTTCTGCCAGTAGTTACAGCCTAGTCATCCTGTCTTCAAGGTAGGAAAAATAACTGGTTTAATTTCTCATCACATCCAAAGGTCTGATACATAGAATATGATACATAGAATATTGGGATAGAAACTAGGATAGCCATGGTAATCTTTACAGTCTCTCCCCCAATATTGATGTTTTGAGATTTAAAGTGGGTATTTCATTTCTGTGTCTTCTGAAATCTTGAATTTGTAAAGAAAATCAGCTTTTCTTGAAGGGGGCGGAATTATCCTTACTAGGGCCTCAAAGGGTTTTTCTCTCTCCGAAAAGGTTACATTTAATGTGTTTGGATATTTTTAATCAAGAGCTAAGGAATGCCTATGAATTTTTAAGACAAAAATTAGCATCAAGTTCTTGATTCAGACTGACAAATGTGAAGACTCTATATTCCCATAATGCAAAAGCGTTTCACAGTAAAACTTTTTTAACGTATACTATCTCTATAGAGTTTTTAAAATAAAGATCAAAAATAAAAAGAATAAATTATCAGATTATAATGAAAGTAACACACCAACACATTCATCACTCATGAGTTCATTCAATCAAGTCATTCATCAGTCCTGAGACGCAGGTCTTTTTCACAGTTTAACACGTTTGTGGTCAGGATGGGCTTCACAAACTATGGAATGTCATGATTTCCTTAACAGCCCTTGTTGTCTTTCTTAGTGCTACAAAATATAATGATGTGTCTTGCAATCAGTGTTGTCTTACATTCAATGAAGTAAGCATTAAGTTTTAAAAGATCTTCAGTGCTAATGCTGAAATAGAAACTGGCGAATTACATTAGGAATATACCATCCATTCTTGATTAAGACTTTTCTTATAATTACAGTTAGAGCAGCTGGGTTGTGGTATCATTCTGAAGTGTCCTTCCAGTGTTTAATAGAGAAATGTGGCAAATGTGTGGCTTGTGTTATTTGAGAAATTAAGGAAGCCATATGCATGTGGTCAGTGAGGAGAACCAGAGTTGCTTTAGTATTTTGTGCTTTCCATTTATTTTGTTTTTATTTGAAGCATGAGCATTGATATTGAATTGTCTGAAGACAGGCCTCTCACCCACACCCTCACTGACCTAGTATAAAAGACTGCATCATATTAGCACCAATTTAAAAGCTGGGATCACAAATGCACATTCACAGTAGCTATGCTACCTTGTCTAAGACAAATTTTACTTTGTGTTTTTGGTTTTGTTTTCGCTTGAGTTAGGGTGATTATCTCTGTTTTTTGTTTTATTTGTTTATGGAGTATCTGCCTAAAAGGTTTATTGGGAAGTATCAGAGGTATTTTATGTAAAATGCTTAGCCTAGAGCTAAGCTTTGAACTGGGGGTGATTTTGTACCCCACGGGACATTTGGGACTGTCTAGAGATAATTTTGTTTGTCACAACTTTGGGGGGAATGAGGAGGAATGCAACTAGCATCTGGTGGGTACAAACCAGGGATGCTGCTAAACTTTCTACAATGCACAGGACAACCCCCACACAAAAAAAGAATTATTTAATTGAGAAACCTCAGTATACTAGCATATACTGTATGCTAGTATAGAAAGCCTAGCATATAGTAAATGCTTAGTAAAAGTTTGTATTATTGTTATTATTGCTTATAAAAGTTGGTTTATATAGTTATTTTTCAAACTAATCGCTGCTTTAATGTCATCACCATAATTTCAGCAGTAATCCTGGAAGAAAGTACTTTAAAACTCTTTCTAGGTTTTCAAGTATGTATTATGATTTCCTAAACATCAGAAGTTCCATGGAGATTCTTTCTCTCTATGGAAATAAGCATCAAGTTCCCTTTTTAAGTTGGTGAGTTCTGCATACTAGCATTGCACAGTGGGGAGTAGAGAGAGATGAAACATAGCTCCCAGCTCAGTAGTTCAGACCGAAAAACATCTACTTTCAAACCTGCACGAATAGACTGTGGTGGTGGGATGATGGCTGTGGAGGGAGCACATTAATAGAGGCCATTCAGAGTTCGTTTTCATCTGCAAACGAACTAAAAGGCGTACTGAACAGAACAAGAAAACTTGGATTTACACACACACACACATACCACCACCATCACTGCCTCCAGGGTCACACAGAGGTCTTTCTGATGCTGTTTTATTCATGGGGGTGCCTGCACAAATCTCTCAGAATTCCAAGCAAGCCTGGCTGGCTCTGTATGCAAACTGTTGCCTCCCTTGAGACAGCACAGGAAGAAAAGTGGAACACAGAAAACTAACTCCGATGGAGTGCACCTCATTTTGAGCAAAGATTACTGTGAATGCATTATTCAGAAAGGCAGGCTTGTACCTTGCTGTGAGCACTTAAGTCATGTAGAAACTTTTGAATGTGGTATTTCAAAGCTGGCTTTGACATCATGAAAATCAGAAGCCAGAATGGCATATTGTATAATTGAACCTTCCTGTGTCTTAATTTGTCTTTTGAAAAATTATCAAACACTGTAGGAAGTGATTTTTTAAATGTTGGATACTTATGGCTCTTAGTACCGTGCCTTCATTGAACCATAAGTAATTTTTTCAATTACAATAGCATCAAAAAGAGGTTTCATTTATCTAGTAGCCTGAATAGTATTATACATTCTAAAAGTCTTTAAATATGTTTTCATTTTTCTTTAGGTTGTTAAAACATTATGGGATTCTGCATATATTTAAGCCCTATGCCAAACTCAAATTTGTTTACAATATTCTTTCAGTATTTCTATTTGGATATATTGTTCCAGAAATGTGCTCTTTTATATTTAAGACCTCAAATTGAAATAGTCAAAAAAGACTTTTTGGTTGTTGTTTATTGATGATGATAATGTTTGAACATTTCTGTCATTTATGGGGTAACTCTACCATGTTACAGTACATTCTTTTCCAATGTAATCAACAGGAAATATTATTCATGTAGCTCTAATAAGCATTAAATGGCCATTCTCTATAGATAGGGTTATCACTTGTGTTCAGGAACCCTCCCATTACACCCAGGACATAATGACTTTAAAAGTCTGATTTCTTGTGGGTCACATACTCATTCAATCCAATTAATACAATTGAACCCAAACAATAGTAGCTACGTTGATCCAAAATATTTTCTTCTGTTCAGCTAGCTTTGATGTGAACATATGGTTCTCCTCTCTGGCATAGATTTATCTGAAACAATATGCTTTCCCAAGTTACCTTCTAAATATAATTACCTATTTTCTTAAAATCTGAAATGGAGAGAAAATTAACATTCAGCAGAATCCATTTGGATGTGATTCTTGATAGTAAATTTCCATTAATAGCCTCAGAGAAAGTTGAATGATGCTACAGGTTAATTGGAAAATAATTTTTTCAAGTTTGAAAGAGCATGGTTCTATTCTTTAAGAAGATTTCCTCCTAGGAATATGGCTTTAATGTACGTTAAGCTTATTTTCTCAACACCAGACCAATAAATGGGGATGGAGCTATCACAAAATTTGGAACTAATTTTTAATAGCTAAGTGTAATAATATGCCATTCTTTCCAAATGTTGCCTTTAGTTTCTGGCTGTCAAAACCTCAATCAAGACAATAATTCTTGGCCTGGCCATAAGTGAGATTATGAAACCCAGCAATGAGGAAACTATTAAAAAATTAATTTAGAGGAAAGTTAATTGCAGATTTAATATGGTGTTTTGCAACTTGGTCAACAAAATGTTTCAACATGATTAACAATATTTTTCAAGGGCTGAAAACATTAAGCCCGAGGAAATGGTTTTTCCTGTCAGCTTTTATTCTTCATATATTCATCTGAGGTTGTAAATAGACACAAATTCTTAAGTGAATTCTGTGGTTAAAAAAATATTCCCTTATCTCCATGAATAGGAGCAAGAAAAGGAAGAGACTGGAGAAAATAATTCTACTTATAAGGTCCTAAAATCTTCAGTGGTTTACTCTCCTTGGGTTATATTTTTAATCTGCCAAGAAATTCTTCTTGTACAACACTGTCTCTCCAGTTTTCATGAATCTCAAATCCTCCAGGATAGAAATCATTTCAAGTTTTCATTTCTCATGGCAGCACTATTTCTAGGTTGTGCTAAATGTTTCATAATGATTTCTATCAACCTCTTCAATCCTTCAAGAATTTCATTAACTTGAGGGATTCCTCCAAACTTGAGCACCTTCCTCACTCTCCAGCATGGATAAGATAAGCAGTGAGTTTCCAAGTTTAAGACATGATCTGGGATCCCTTTCATTGCAAATTAGAAAGCGATGTGATAGCTATGAAAGTCATTGGATTAGGAGTGCATTCCCCTCCTCTGTGACCCTCGACACCCCCCACCCCCCCAAAAATAAATGAGCCGAAGCTCCCACTTACATCCTCTGTCTTCTTAGTGCTCTGTGTCCTGTGGCCGAGGCGTACAGCAGAGGCATGTGGGCTGTCAGATCGGAACACATAAAATAGCCAGAGAGACCGAGTGCAACCCCTACACCAGACCGGAGTCGGAACGCGACTGCCAAGGCCCACGGTGTCCCCTCTACACTTGGAGGGCAGAGGAATGGCAAGAAGTAAGTAGAGCCACGAAGGGGTACCTGCCAGGCATTTCACATGTGTGCCCCTTGCTATCATCACATCTGTTCCCTATAAAGCCAGAGAAGTCATCGAGCACGGTTACAATGCTGGCTCTTTCCCAAAAGGTTCAATGTTAGACTCGCGCGTTCGCTCCAACAAGGGTGGGAGAACTTCTTGTTTTTAAGCAAATCCTACGTCTGTCTGCGTTCCTGAGTGTTCCAAGTCTGGCCGCCTCAAAAAAAAAAAAAAAGTAACAGGCCATGGGCCAAATGCATTCAGATATCTTTCACAGAAGGAGGGGGAGATAGAAGGAATATTTTAAATATGTCATTTTTGTCCAGATTTGGTCATTCTGTATTTGTTTAAATAGCCACAGGGCAGACTTTAGGTAGAACCTACTCTGTATTTTTCCTCTTTCTATGACTTCGGCTCTCGGGTAGAAGATGGGCATTCATGTGAAACCTTGATTAATTAGTGAAAGATTTCTAACATTAAAAAAAAAAAAAGGAATAGTATCTGAAGAAACTGCTCCGTTGATGGTCCATGCAGAAGTGGACAAGACTTGCTTTTTCCCTGGCTTCAAGTTAATGTTTGGTTAAAGAAAACATTGTGTCCATGGGGAAAAGTTCAGCCAGGGAAGTTTTGTAGGAGGTAACCTCTGTTTCCAGAACAGAAGATTAAATTGTAGAAAAGGTGGGGAAGAATTAGAAAGCAAAACCACATCCACTGATGTTTACATAAAAAACAAAATGCATGCCGTTTGAGGTGCAGAGATAATGAAAGATAAGACAGGAAATCCCCCACCACGAAGAGCTTTTCAGAACACAAAGAAAGGGTATGGTTTGGAGAACAGTTAGACTGTACCCCTGGCACTGTGCTGGGTACTTTTTGTTCATTGCTTCACTTAATCTTTTTAACCACCAGACAAGGTGAGTATTATTATTATCATCATCCCATTTTGCAGGTGAAAAAACTGAGGTTCAGAAAGTCTATGTCATTTGCCCAAGTGTCATATACCTAGCACCTAGCAAGTAGAAGAAGCAAGACTTGATGCTAAGTTTGTTCTGTTAAACCAGTATGAAATACTAGAACTGCATTCTTTAGCCCATTGAGATTCAGCCACCCATCCCTGTCTTCCCCTTCCCTCGCTTCCTCATGGATTACTTCCATTGTTTGCAGTAATTTCTTTTCTTTGGGAAACTCATCCTCTCCATCTACTCAGTCTTTTTGCTGTTTTCCTTCTTTACCTTTATATTCCCACCAGACAGTGGCAGGGAGGAAATCCTAAAGCAGTTACATTTCAGATTTACAGCTCTTGAACCACATGAGTTATTTGGAACCCTAGAGATCATAAAATTCTACAGACTTGGTTCATATCCCAGCGCTGCCACACATTAGCCAAGGGACTTGGAGCAAGGATTTTTGATTTCTCTGAGCCTTGGATTATCCATCTGTAGAATGGGGATAAAATAACTTTGCAGAGTTGTTCTGAGAAAACTGGAGATAATAGTGTTATCTATTACCAATTACGGTTTGGGGATTGGCAATGTCAGATATAGAAGAAAGAGGAGACTCCCTCATCTGTCTCTCTCTCCCCCTCAGTATGACCTCTTGATTCTCTTTGTTTCAGACCTACCATGGCCTGCTCTCTCCATCTCCCTCTTTGTGTCATGCTAAACTCGACCCTGCTCCAAGGAGCAGAAAGTAAGAGAGTGTTCAGAAATGAGTCTAAGCTGACTGTTCGTGCTTTAGCCAGTTTTTGAAAACGCTAGAGACAATCATGAAAATGCAGACTCTGTTTACAATTCCTTTTGCATCCCAAAGAATAGAAAAACCTTGCCACATGTGCACTGAAGAAATTCTTCTCTGATCATGCAAAATATGCCTAAAATTTACTTCTTTGCATGTGTCGTGCAGATGGGTTTTTTTAAAACCTTACTCAAATATTGCTGTTAAACTCTGTGGAAGAATACAAGGCTTCAGGAGACAGCCTGGCCTGGGCCTCTATATCAGATATAGAGATATAGAGATACTCTATATCATAGGAGTATCTCCTATGATATTCCTATGGTATCCTATAGGAGGCCTGTCATTGGCAGAGTGATGCCCAGGGCAGCTGGAGGTGGGGAGAAACCTCACCAAAAGTTTTCATGTTTCCCATATATGCAAGGCCTGCTGACAGCCTGCTCAGAATGTCTCTGCAGCAGCAAGAATGAGAGTGAAGGATGACAGTAACTGGGCAATTACCTTAATTGATCAAATCAGGAAAAGGTTGGCCACGCCTCCTGTTTGCCTAGGGTAGTCCTCGTGTAATTATTAATTGTTCCTACTTTTATGATCAAAAGCGCTCTTGTTCAACAGTAAGCTGGGTGGTCACTTGGTAAGACAGCACCCTTCAGGCTCCCCTAAATCACAGCCCTCACCTCCTTTCTTGCTCCCACCTCGTCTCACATCCATTCATTCAGCTACCATTTTACCTGATATCCACTGATGCAGGCACAGGTTTCCACTTTTCTCCCACACCTAGTTTCGTCTTGACCTGAGGTCAGAGAGTGTGCCACAGGGCAGCCTCTCAGCCAACTGAATGGGATGTGTAGGAGCCCCCCATTACAGGATACCCCTTCTTTCTTAGCAGTCCTTGGTCACCACCTCAGAACTCTTGTTTGCTTGAGTGTGCACTTTGCCTTTTGCTTCCCCTTTTAATAGTCCCCTATGTGAACTACTAAAACCCACCAGTTGGTTGGCAAGGTGTATTTCCTGCTAGGTCTGTGGGATATGGCACCATCCTCTTTTTGAGAAATAATCCAGGCATCTGCCTAGAGAAGCACAGTTTCTGCACCCTCACCATGGCATGGTCATCAGGGATGTTCTGTACAACCACACAGGTTGTACACTGCACAACTTTGAGGGGTGCCTTTTTTATCAGCTACAATGTGAGGAGCATCCCCTAGACTTGTATAGTACAATGGCCCTAATACTGATGATAATAAAAATAATAAAGCTTGTTGTTTACTAAGCTACAAACCAGGCACTATGTTGAGTATTTTCACATAAAGTACTTCTTTTAAGCCCTTTCCATAACTCTCTGATGTAGAATTTATATTTTTATCCTCATTTAATAGGGGCAACTTGGGGCTTAGGTAGTATGGCTGGAATTGGAAGCCTAGAAGCTTGTCCTCTGACACCTACACGCTGAATCATTATCTTCACTAATCCCATGCCAACATACACCTAAAGTGAATTATTTTATTTTCCTCTCAATGACTTGCCAAGCCTCTTACTGGAGAGTTGCTATCCAAGTGTATTCCCTTTACTGGGTTATAATACCTACCCCTTCTAAAAAGGAGATTCTTGATCTAGTTGGCTATCAGACTTTAAGCCATGTCACCAGATGAGTCTTGATGATGTTGGAGCCCCTCAGTGGACTTGCCCTGTTCATTGTGAGGTCCATTGGTTGTTCAGGGGCAAGGGGCATCAGGATGCCTTCTTGATACCATGAGAGTAGAGCCCAGACTTTCAGATATAGGGCAAAATAATTGGACAAGAGAAAAATGCTGTATCCACACATCCACATCTCATTTTGTTTACACCCTAGAAACAACATGTTGTAAGCAAAATTCTATTCAATGTGTGGCTCTGAAAAGTTGACTCTGAATTTCTAGACTTCACTTAGCTCATCTGCAAAATGGGAATTATATGGCAGACTTAGCTCAAGGGTCACAGTGAGGATTTGGTGAGATGACATGATTCGACATGGTGACTAGCACATTTTAAGTCTTCCCAAAGTAGACCTCTTTTTAGTACAGTGGCCTTCCGATGGAGGTTTCTGGTGATGACAGCAGTTTGGCTCAGCCTACACCTTATGATGTTGGGCTTCTAAATATCACCTGCCAGCTTCAGGTGAATAATTTGTCCTCACAGTGGTCAGTTTTAGCCACTTTAGAATTATAATGCTCATGAGGCTGTTTGGGAGAAAAAAGTTTAAAAAGACTTTTTAATTCTTTTGAGAATTATTATCACAAAGGATTAACTTGTTAGTAATATTACACTCTGACATATAAATTCACTTAGAGCAGCAGAGGTCCTTCTGATCAAATTTGATTTGTGATTGTATAGGGCTATACATCTGCAGCATTGAGGAATAGATCTCACAGGTCCTGCACATGTTCTTTTTCCCTTTTATCTGGAATACTCTCTTCCCTTGTGGTACCTCTTCATCATAAGACCACCTTGCTCTGAACTTCACCTCAGTCACCCTTTCTCATCCTTCAGGCCTCAACCTAGGTGTCACTTCCTCTCAGAAGCTTTGCCAATCACACCACCCCACTAAATCTGAGTCAGATACTCCTCCACTCAGCTCTCACAGCATCCTCAAATTACTGTATTCTGGCAGTTAGCACCCAGAATTTTCATTGCCTGTTTTCCTCATCTATGTTATCAGTTATTTAAGGTCAGGAAGCTTGTTCACCAGAATCTTCTCTATCATTTAATAAGGTACCTACAGCATCAAAGACACCTGTTGAATGAATGAATCTGCGAATGAATGGAGGAACAAAATAATGGATGGCTGGAAGGAAAGAAGAAAGAAAGGGAGGGAGAAAGGATGAAGGGAAAGATGGAAGCAAAGAAGGAATGAGGAAGGGAGGGAGGAAGGAAGGAAGGAAAGGAGGAAGGAAGGAACAAAGGAAGGAAGGAAGGAAGGAAGGAAAGAAGGAAGGGAGGGAGGAAGGAAGGGATAATAACATAGAACAGTGCCTGCTAATTGATGGACTTTCATCTTTCACTCTATAGAATAAAGGCATTTTAAAATGACTTTTAGAACATGAATTAGGCTGGACACAGTGGCTCATGCCTGTAATCCCAGCACTTTGGGAGGCCAAGGAGGGAGGATCATTGAGCCCCGGAGTTTGAGACCAGTCTAGGCAACATAGTGAGACTCCATATCTACAAAAAAAATAGAAAATTTAGCCGAGTATGGTGGCATGGAC